ATACAAGCGGCCGAAATGGGTTCCCTCCGTAGGGTGGCTGGGCTCTCCCTTAGAGATAGGGTGAGAAGCTCGGTCATCCGGGAGGGACTCGGAGTAGAGCCGCTGCTCCTCCACGATAAGCGGAGGAAGATGGATGGATGGATGGATGGATGGATGGATGGATGGATGGATGGATGGATGGGTGGAAGCATCCTGCTTCCTCTTCCTACCTCCTTTCTTACTGCCAGACCTATTTGGACATAACTTCCAATTTGCTTTTCCAATTTGTGGTGTTTGGACTGAGCCTGATTTTATTCTAAGTCAATGTAGCTACAACTATATGTTTTCTTTCTCTCTTCATGGTGGGTATCTTAACTCTTTAAGAAGAACAGGCTGAAAAAAAACAGATTTCTAAATTTGCTACTCATTGGCTGTTTAAAACAGAAGAAACATGAAAAAGACCACATATATATTTCTAATAGCTTTAGGAGATGCTATAGTCGGATGAATAAAACATTATTTGAAGTGACAGAAACTTAGTTTAAAAGAAAAAATAACTCTGTCCACCTCAGAAGTTGGTTTACAGATAACTTCAGTTTAGCTACTTTAAAAGATGGTCAATTTCAGTTTCTTGCCTTCAAACATTTTGCTTTTGGTTATTTCATTTCCTCCGATATGCTGAGCACATTCAACCTTGTTGTTTTTATAGTTTTGACTAGTTGGAGTTAAGCTGCATAACTTTTGTCTGATCAAAGTGTTTGCCCAGAATGTCCGAGCTTGTTAATGATCTTTAAAGAGCACAAATACGGCTTTTCACAAAGCAAGGATAAAGTCAGCTTGTGGATCATAATCATAGTTGGTATGAATGATAAAATGCCCCGATTGCTTCTGACCTTCAATGCTGGGGTTCCTGTTTTATTCCCTCCTGTCACCTTTTGAACGGTTCTGGCCCCTCACCACAGACGGCTGAATCAAAGTCCCATCCTGATGTAAACTAACCTTTTACCTTTCTGATGTTTACTTAGTCTGTCTATTTATCATCCCATCTAAATTCTTAATAATCCACTGTTTATGTCTGGAGATTAATTGATTACATTTTGCCCCGAAGCATAAAAAAGGCATAAACAAAACCCTTAATCTTAGGGCTGTGTTATCTTTGTGGCAAAAAGATTATTGGCTTATGGCTTATGTTTATTGGAATTGATATAGCTGGTCTCTGGTATTTTTTATAAGACCAGATTTTGCATGTTTTAACTTTGAAGTAAGGAGTTTCTGACCAGAAAGGCCTTAGTACAAGTTGTGCTGATCAGATTGCTCCTGCTCTTCGCTTCATGAGTGTCAGGTGCACTCAGGACTCTGGCTGATCTTTGAAGAGCCAGAAAACCGTGCTGCTGTCATGTTAGAGCTGATCATTCTTCTGGAAAAGAAAATGAAATCACAGCAGCCTCTGTCACAGCCAGTCGGGTTGGATTTGATCCTGGATACAAATTTTGCTACGAATGGTTGACTTGAGTCAGTTTGGTGTTCAGATGTGCATCCAAGTGTGATGGTGGCAGCTCCACATGCTGCTGAATAAACTAGGCCCACTTATTCTCGTGAGGGAGCCATTGATATTTAGGGATCAGTCTAAGAGTCGGCAATAAAACTAAGACACAGCTTTGACTTTACGGGCTCAAAGGTTAATCAAAATTCATTGAAGCTTATCTTACAATTGAAACACTCTCCACCATTTGGTTTTATTTATTAAATCACACGGGTGGATGGAGTTTACACGGCTCTTTATGATACAAATTCTCCTCTCTTCTGTATTCTGCAGCCACTATCACGCTGGAAAAAATTTAAATCTCAAGTCATTTTTTCTTAAAATTGACAAGTTAAGTGAGACACTTTGCCAATGGAACAAGAAAATTTACTTTTAGAATAAGCAAAACAATTGCATTGTCTTATTTCAAGTGCATATATCTAAATGACTAATTCCATTGGTAAATCATGTTATTTACCTTCTTAAATGAAGGGTAAATACACTTAATTTAATAAATATTGTCTTATTTCTACATCGTTTTGGCAGAGTGGCTCTAGTTTTGGGGAGAGGATCAATTTCCAGCTGAAAGAATGTATATTAAAATAAAGTTATGTTTCAATAGGATTCACATTTTTCAAGCTAATTTCCTAATATCGATATACCAGAGAAAGTTCTAGAGTGAGCATACAGGTGCTGGTCATAAAATTAGAATATCATGAAAAAGTAGATTGATTTCAGTAATTCCATTTAAAAAGTGAAACTTGTATATTATATTCATACATTACATACAAACTCATATATTTCAGATGTTTATTTTGTTTAATTTTGATGATTACAAATGACAACAAATGAAAATCTCAAATTCATCATATCAGAAAATTAGAATATTACTGAAGACCAATAAAAACAAAGGATTTATAGAAATGTTGGCCAACTGAAAAGTATGAACATGAAAAGTATGAGCATGTACAGCACTCAGTATTTAGTTGGGCCTCCTTTGGCCTGTATTACTGCAGCAATGCGGCGTGGCATGGAGTCGATCAGTCTGTGGCACTGCTCAGGTGTTATGATAGCCCAGGTTGCTCTAATAGTGGCTTTTAGCTCTTCTGAATTGTTGGGTCTGGTGTATTGCATCTTCTTCTTCACAATACCCCATAGATTTTCTATGGGGTTAAGGTCAGGAGAGTTTGCTGGCCAATTAAGAACAGGGATACCATGGTCCTTCAACCAGGTACTGGTAGCTTTGGCACTGTGTGCAGGTGCCAAGTCCTGTTGGAAAATGAAATCTGCATCTCCAAAAAGTTGGTCAGCTGCAGGAAGCATGAAGTGCTCTAAAACTTCCTGGTATGTGGCTGCGTTGACCCTGGACCTCAGAAAACACAATGGACCAACACCAGCAGATGACATGGCACCCCAAACCATCACTGACTGTGGAAACTTTACACTGGACTTCAAGCAACGTGGATGAAGTGCCTCTCTTCTTTTCCTCCAGACTCTGGGACCTTGATTTCCAAAGGAAATGCAAAATTTACTTTCATCAGAGAACATGACTTTGGACCACTCACCAGCAGTCCAGTCCTGTTTCTCTTTAGCCCAGGCAAGACGCTTCTGACGCTGTCTGTGGTTCAAGAGTGGCTTGACACAAGGAATGCGACAGCAGAAACCCATGTCTTTCATACGTCTGTGTGTGGTGGTTCTTGAAGCACTCACTCCAGCTGCAGTCCACTCTTTGTGAATCTCCCCCACATTTTTGAATGGGTTTTGTTTCACAATCCTCTCCAGGGTGCGGTTATCTCTCTTGCTTGTACACTTTTTTCAACCACATCTTTTCCTTCCCTTCGCCTCTCTATTAATGTGCTTGGACACTGAGCTCTGTGAACAGCCAGCCTCTTTAGCGATGACCTTTTGTGTCTTGCCCTCCTTGTGCAAGGTGTCGATGGTCGTCTTTTGGACAACTGTCAAGTCAGCAGTCTTCCCCATGATTGTGTAGCCTATAGAACTAGACTGAAAGACCATTTAAAGGCTTTTGCAGGTGGTTTGAGTTAATTAGCTGATTAGAGTGTGGCACCAGGGGCCATCAATTTTGAACCTTTTCACAATATTCTAATTTTCTGATATGATGAATTTGAGATTTTCATTTGTTGTCATTTGTAATCATCAAAATTAAACAAAATAAACATCTGAAATATATGAGTTTGTATGTAATGTATGAATATAATATACAAGTTTCACTTTTTAAATGGAATTACTGAAATCAATCTACTTTTTCATGATATTCTAATTTTATGACCAGCACCTGTATTGTCATCCACAGGGTTTCCGCGGGTCATTAAACGCCATTAAATTTTTATTTTTTAAATTAAGGCCTTAATTGGCATTAAAATTCATTAAATTTGATAATCATGGCTTTAAAATGTGAATGGGGAAAAATGCAAATTTGAACCAAAGTGGCGGGAAAACAAGGAATTCCGGACACGGCTGCAGCCTGTCCATGGTGAAGATGACGAAGGCTTTTGCCATGTGTATATATATATATATATATATATATATATATATATATATATATATACATACATAAGTCATGGGTACTTGTGGATGGCATTAAGTTATTCTAAGAGCATTAAAGCATTAAATAAGAGTTACTCATGCATGCATAAACCCTGCATCCAGGTGTATGAGTAGTTGTTGTTCTGTGATGATCATTCCCAGTATATGTTGTGTTGGCACAGTCTTTTATAGTTGTAGCTTAGACTGTAAGAGTTGGGTTCGGTTTGAGCATAAAAAGTCCCTTTTTTTCTTTAGAATTAATGTTTTTAATCAGAAAAAGTTTAGATTTTTTGCCTTTGCAATGTTGTTTTTACTCTGTTTTTATTGGTTGTGAGTCGATGGAAACTTTTTAAACTATTTGCATATCATTACCATTAATGCCTGCTAAGCTAATAATTATTAAAGTCCTGTTTGTGTTTTAAATGGTAATGATTTGTTAGGATTTATTTCTATCATCGTCTTCCCTACAGCTGCTCTCTGCTCACTATAGGTGTAAAAAGCACACACACACACACACACACACACACACACACACACACACACACACACACACACACACACACACACCTGCTTACCTCCAGGTGCGTGATGACTCCCGGCGATCCGTGCAACTGTCAGGACTCTGAACAGCAGCCTGCTGTGACTTACAGCTGGCCCGACCTGTCAGACCTAACCAGGCATAATAAACAATAAGACAGAAATTTCTGAAATAAGAGTCTGTATTTCCCACAGACTGTCCCCTTCTGCTCGACTATAACTCAGCCAGAATATTCCTACCCCTCAGTCCTTACTGCACACAATCTTTGCATTTCGTTTTTCATTTGGATGATTTATTTTTTTGACTCTAAAGTGAGAAATAAAATTTGCACCATGGAGGCCAAACATTTGATCTTCTAACGTCTTTTATGTTCTCTTTAACTGTGATTGGTAACATATTCCCTCTGTCTTTCAGGTTCTGTATGCAAAAGAGTGCCACGTTGGTGCCAGGAGTGACGTTAGACCTCATTGAGAAGTAAGTAGCATGGCGCAACAGTTTTGGCTCCCATTGGCAGCAGGGCAGAGTCTCGAGACATCATTATCCATTTTCCTTCTTCTGCCTGTCTCTGCTTCCCTCGCTTCCCCTCTCTGTTGTTTTGTATCCCGAAGGTGTAATCCTTTGCCTTTGTTTCCCTCTCACTGTCAAAGTGGCAGCACTTTGGCAGATTTAAAGCTTTAAATTTGCTGAATTAACCTCTGGGTGTTGAGCAACTGAACGTGGATCATCTCTTGCTCTCAGGCATCTCCATGCTTAGAATGATGCCAGCACTCATTACATCTAAAGTTTTACTGTTTTCACTGAAGCATGTGTCTAAGATCCACACCGAGTGCACAGAAGAGGGTGAAATGACTCTCGTCTATTAAGATGGTTGACTTGTTTTTTTTAAAAGGGTAAGTGAGTTAGCAAAAACAAACAAAATAGATCCTGTCTGAGAGTGCCTGAGGGAGTTGAACTTGAAGAGCGTCTCGGCAGTCTCCTAATGATGTGTTTATCTGTCAAACTGAGTTTGTTGAAGGTGAGTAATAACTGTGACACCAGTCTGCCGCAGACCAGCCGGGAAAATGTGGACACCCACACACAAACCCATGTTCTAGGCTGCTATCTTTACGGCGACTTTCCATTGATTTCCATTCTTTTTTACATTCATTCCTATAATCTAATCCATAATTAAACTGAATTCAGTTTATTTATATAGGCCCAATTCACAACACATGTCATCTCAAGGCACTTTACAATTCAAACAGATTCATACAGTCAAATTGATTCAAAGTTTTCTATCTAATGAAAACCAGTTGATGCATCGACTCATTGAATTGAAGGCAATTCCTCACACTAAGCATGCTTGTAGCGACAGTGGAGAGGAAAAACTCCCTTTTTACAGGAAGAAACTTCCAGAGCAGATGTACAAGACATACTATTTTCCTAACCATTACCTACACATACCTAACTCTAAGCCTAACATAAACTTAATTCGCACCATAGTGCTTAACCTAACCCCCACCCCAAGAAGATAACCTTTCCTCATTTGGCTGTATACTGAACCCCCCTCCAATCAATTTAATTGAACCTCGATGGAAACTCTGTTCTTCCACTTAAACTTTCATTGACTATCATGATTGATGGAGAAATAAAAAGTCAAATGAGATGATAATTTCACTGGCGCCAACAGTTTCAGCAGCACCTGCTTTTATATAAAACATTGGTCCAATATTGGCCAAAAAACTAATATCAGATTGTATCGGGTGGTATTTAAATTCTTCTGATGTTTAGATGATTATAGAAAGAGTCTGCAACTGTAACTCATTGGTTCATATTACATGGTTCAGTTGTTATTTTAATATATCACTTCATTGATTAAGCCTTTTTTAACATTCTACAATATAAGTAATAAAAGCATGTGTAATTCATGCTAATAATATCAGTATCGGTCAATTCAATATCTCTATCGTATCGGAAACAAAAAGGTTGAATCAGCACATCTCTTGTTGCAGCTGAAATAGGTTTTTTTTTATCCGATCTTAAGGTGAAGTATTACTATCCCACAAACTTGGAACCTAGGAAAGCTATAACCACATATTTTATCTATGTGACTATCTATATGTGTGTAGTTTATTTTTGTGCATTATGCCAACACACAAAACAGTTCAAACCTGACCTAAATGAATGCCTACTGTGGCACTTGAAAGCATGCAGAAGAGTAGCAATCATTTGAATCATAAGTGCTGAAACTTAAACACATCCTAAACATGCAGGAGGGGGGACTTGAAGAACAGGGTTTGTGACCACTACTAAAGAGTGAATAAACATGCCTCTCTTTCGGTTTTCTTTTATTACCATTCTGATTTGGTGTGATTTAGTCATCCATGGTCAAGTGTTTTGATTTTGCATGCAGTCATATCTTATAATATTGCTTTTTATAAATGTGTGTTTTAACACAGCAGCATAGTTGGGTGTTCTTGCATTTTTTATGTAGTTTACATGTCAAATAAATAAGAAAACTTCTCCCTTTTCTTTGAACTATTGATGAGAATTATTCATAATCCAAGTATGTATTTTTCCAGTTTTTCCTCGCCCATGTAACCACGGTCCTTTTAGTTTAGTTTTCCTCTGATCTTTTGATTTGTACACACCGTCATCGCCTCTTTTAATCTCTTCTCAAACCCCACCACTCTCCAGTTGATGGGAGTTGTGCAGGAGATGCTGTAGTGCGGCAGAGCTTGAGCTGAAGGACTCCCAAAGGCAGGATGGGAGCCCACTAGAGATGTGATGAACACCTTTGAAGAAGTATAGCTTTTTTTTTTCCAGTCATATATTCTTTTTTCTCAGCCACGCTGACATCGTCTGTTGGTTTGACGACACTGAACCTCTCCCTTTATGCTCCAAGCTCTCATGTCCTTATTTTAGCTTTCATGTCTTGCGTTCTCTGAATCATCCTGCGGACATTTGACCTGGGGAGCTGTAAGGACAGTTCAAACAACCATAAATGTCACATGGCTTATGTTGGAGGTTAATTAAGTTTTTATCATTTATTTGTTTTTGATATATCCTTCTAGAAATACAATCCTTTAACCCCATATACAGCTTTTTTAATGGTTTTATAAGTCACTGCCTTTATGTAATTGGTATATGCAATAACTTTTTGACTCCTCTTCATTTTCTCTATTCTCCTTTTTGAGACCCAATGCATGGGTTTCAGAATGTGCAAACAGCTAGCTATTACACTCTCTTTGCTCATATCTTCACCTTTAAAGGTTTCACATGGATTGAAATGGCAGTAATCACTCATCATTTTTGAAATGCTGCAATCGTTTGTTATAAAACATGTTCAGCGTAGCAGCAACTTTGAATAGTTGGATGTTGATGATTTGTTTATTAATTAGATCATTCTTTGGTCTTTACTCCATCTGTGCACCCTTCTGTCTCCTTTCTTCCCACGATTATCCAACTCACATTCTGGACGGATCCAGTCACTGTAGCGTTTTTACATAATGGAGTCACGAAGCTGAGGGCATGTGGATTTTACCTGCCATTGTGGGCTCCTCACATACTTGCTCATCCTTTGTCTCAAAGATGAGGGTGTTGGTGCAGATCATGTAGGATGATCCATATTAAGCCTTCTTCAGTCTTTTCACAACATGACACAGTGTGCTGTACTGAAGTCACCAGCAGGCTTCTGATCTCTAACTCTGTTTAGGGATCATATCACTTTAATAACCCTTAGTTTAGAACACAGCGGAAATGCTGCATTGATCCTGTAATTAAATACTTCATGCATCGTTACTTTGTGACGTCAAGAGCTACCTATTCACCCAAGGTAGTATAGATATGTCTGTCTATTTCTGTTCAGACAGTGCTTTGTAAGCCTGTTTACATCTAGTGTATTTTATTTATATAAATGTATATATAAATTTCAGTGTCACATGATCTAAACTACCTTAGTAATCAAGAGTCTCCTGCATTAATCATGACAAAGTGGAGGTAATAATAACCTGGCCACCTTCACTTAAAAATATACATAATTTAAAGTATAAATAACACCACCCACTGTGGAGCTGACTTGTTGTGTCACTTTAATTTGTAGCGACCCTGAATAGATATAGAGTTCAAACCCCCCTTTCCCCTTTTTAAAATGTTAACTTTAACCTCTTTTCTGAAATGTTTACCTACCGTATGCAGTAATGCTATTTGCTAGTGTTTGAATCTATATCTTAGAAGAACAGGTGAAAGTAACAGCTTTTAAATGCAATCTAGATGTCTAAAGCAACACCTGGCTCATGTTTGCTGCATTTATAGATATACTGCGAGTTACATTGATAAAAAAACTTCAGCTCTGTGGCTAAAAATGTTACAGTTTGTCTTTCTTTAATTAAGGGCATTTCCCCCCTCTTAGTAAAATGAAAAACACAGAAGCTCTTTTAGTTATGGTACACAGGTTTTTAGCAGGCCTCCTCAATGTCAGACTTGGGGTCCAATTTCCTTGCCTGGCAGTAGCCAGATCGATATGTATGAAACTGCGTTGAGTTCTACGTTATCAATCTGGGATGGCTGCCAGATGGCTTCAGTCTATCCATGAAAAGGAGGGACATTTAGTAAAATACTTCGAGCTGATTGGATGACATTCCAGCTAGTACTCGCCTCCTTCCATAATATGCTTTCAGACAATTGTAGCAGCGAATTGTGACATTTCAGTGGAGTAAGCTGATAAATTAAAATTTTTTCAAATCCTGTCAGAAAAACAGCACAGACATCTTTCCCATCTACAAATGCACTAAGTTCTTCTCTTTGCTCCTTATTTTAAATTAGAAATTGTGATTATTTTGGCTAAAAGCGAGTCAATTCCGGCATTGACAGTCGAGTCATCCAGATATTATCCTTCCAGCATGTCTTGGGACTGGAATTGTTTTACTGACTTATCAGCACAAGTGATTGAAATGGCCGATACCAAACTTAACATTGCATCTTGATAACTGGGTTTGTTATTTATCGACTTTAACTTTACCAGATAGCAACTACATGCCGATCATACAAAAGACTGCATCTGTATAGAAATAAAACCTAACTTCTAGAAGCTAAATGATAGATGATGATGAAGTCCGTGCCTTTACGTTTCCCGCTGAATATATAAAAAAGAACGTCTCAAGTGTTTTAAAGGGGGAAGTTAATGTGAGCAGCTTCTGTGTTGTACTCTTTCTTTTATTTGGAACCTGAAACATACCCGAAGGTATTAGACAAGAGCATTAGTGGACACGAAAGTGGGATGATAAAACAAGGGATGGACAAAACTTCCCCAAGGTTTGATTGATGGCCTAAGCCTCAACATTTCAGAGGGTATTCTTACCCATTTAGTGATTCGTCTATCTTTTTCTTCATCCATCCACCTCTTAGCTGACTTTCCCCCCTCCCAAATGTATTTCAGAGAATCACCCAAGGATATGAACTGCTGAGTGTTCATCCTGACTACTGCCTTTTCAAACACCTTTGGCAGGCAGTCAAAGCGCTCAGGAGTTGGCTGGTTAGACGGAGGACCTGTAGTGCCAAGAGCCTCACAGCTGCTATTATTTGTTGCTTACAGTTGGAAATAGAGGGCTTGGGTCGGGAAAGGTTCACCCTCTACTCATTTACAAAACATGGGTGGACGATGCTTAATGAATGAAGTCAAGATATGTTGTTGGTAAAGGGGACATGAACAGGTTTTACTCTAACATGGAATCTAATGGTGATAGTAAAGGTCTAGAAATGACAGCTTGTGGTGACCGTCTAGGTGCAAATTAAGATTTTATACAAATACTATTGTACTTAGGTTATGTTTCTTAGAGTCAGTTTAGTGGAGGACAGAATTTATCCTCAGTTCATCAGATATAAGGGGGTAAAAATGAAAGAGTACTTAAATAATGGTAATTAAATAAAAAAATAAAGTATATATATAAATATATATATATAAATATATTAGTGCTGTCAAAATTATCGCGTTATTAACGCGTTAACGCAAGGCGATTTTAACGGCGATAATTCTATTGATTTTGATGTATTGATTGAAAATTGTTCATTATTATCTTGGTTAATTGACTACATTTTATAGCAGTAGGGTAAAATGCTTGTCTTTGTTCAAAAGACTGTATTAACTGTAAAGACTGTCTTTTACATCAGCCTGTTTTCAGGGCCTTTTTTTTGCCTACATATTTGTTATTTTTTGCTACATGCCTCCCCATCTTCTTGCCAAATGTTTCTATGGCATAAATCAGTGTCTGTGACCTGTTTTCATAAAAAAAAAAGAACATTGGCACAAACCTAGCCTGTATGTATTTTTTTGTATGTCATTGAGAGTATTTAAATGATTTTCAATCAGGAAAAAAATGTGCGATTAAAATGCGATTAATCGCGAGTTAACTTAGGCATTGATGCGATTAATCACGATTAAAAAATTTAATCGATTGACAGCACTAAAATGTATATAATGTTCTTGTCCTGACAAATGCATGCCAGAAGCAGAGGTTCTCATCTTCATGGTGCCTTTTCAAAATGAGATATCGAACATTTTGTTACATTGTTGGTGATTTTTTTTTTTTTTACTGGAATCTTAGTTTCTTTCTTTAGAACATCTACAAAAGTCCGCCATTTACGGGAATATTGCTCTAGTGATTAGAGCAGTCCGCTTGTCCTCTGAGAAGGATCCAAGTACCTGGTTCGATCCCCACAGCCTGCGCTCTGAGTTTCCTTAACCCCACACTACTCCCCGGGCTTTGCACAGTGGCAGCCCACTGCTTCCCAAGGGGATGGGTTAAATGCAGAGGTGAATTTCTCCAGTGTGAGATCAACAAAGTAAAATTATTATTATTTTGTTGAGATGAGAAAATTATTTTTCTCAAGGCAGTCAGTGGGGGGGGGACTGGCTGGTGAGCTTTGAATCGATGTTCATCTGCTCAACCTAAGAGTGCTTGAGCTCAAGGTCTACTAAAGGGCAGAATGAACGGTTCCATCTCACAGTAAGCTGTCCAGGTCCTTTGTAGCAAGGCTGCCTCAGGCCATAACGCCACCACCGCTATGTTTCATATGTTTGGTGTTTTTTTCCTGGAATTCTGCATTTCTACTTTTACTAGATAAAGTGGGATTTGTAACTTTTTTTTTTAACCTTATAACGTCCAATCATTTGATTTTGCATACTCCTTTTATTTCCCTTTGGCATGAACTCTGACATTCACTGTAGCCAATGATGCCTTTAATGAGAAAGGGTTCTTCTGTGAGCTCCTGGATCAATTGTTAAAGTACATATAGAGCCATTTTTCTAGGCCAGCCACTCCTGGGAAGGATCATTACTGTTCTACGTTCCTTGTTTTATAGATGGTTGCTCTCCCTGTTGCTTGCAGAGGAACCATAACCTGTTCCAGTCTGATAGATGTCATTGACTTCAGGGCAGAATGGTTTCCTTTCTCAGATCTTTTGGCCTACTTCTTTTTGTCCTGAGATTTGATTCCACAGGTCTTGCATTGGTCAAGCCTGGTTGTGGATACTAAAGTGAACTAAAAACAAAAGTTTTAATCACAGTTAATTCAAGATTTAACAATGCAAGTAGATATATTTGTTTTCCTGAATAGATAAATCACAATGTAAAAAATGTTTTTCAAAGTTATCTTTCTGTAATGTAAGAAAGTAAGTAACAAAAACAGAAGAAATCAAGATAAAGAAAACCAAGAGATGAAAACTGAAATTTTCTAATCTCACAGTTCGTTGTTTTTTTATCTGATCCCGCTGTAGGACACACAGCATTTATCTTTCATGAATAATATTTCTGCTTCTCAGCAGGTTAACGCCACCTCTGTAAATATTTTACAGCTGATTCGCCTTGTCATCTCACATCAGAATACTGATTTATTTTCATGCAGCTCTTTTTGTAAAGACAGCTAATAAACATCGCTGCATTATAACCGCCCCCTGAAACATCTCGGCTTGTTGATCTTGAACATGATCAAAGACTGAGGCTGGATTTACTTTGCGTTCGTTCCTGGTGTCGGTCTGATCTGAGCCCACAGTGGATCTGAGGCACAAAAACACATGAATATTCAGTTGTTAATCTTTCTGTGTAAGAGACTTGGTGCTTTGGAATGTTAAGTTCTTCACATGGTGTTGTAATAGTGCAGAACATTTGCCACTTGGTGCTATGAGTAAACTCTGACACTGTGAGAGCGGCTGACACAATGCCATCTGTGTTGTGTTGCACTGCAGGATCCCTGGCAGGCTTAATGACAGACGCACACCCCTTGGAGAGCTCAACTGGATCTTCACCGCCATCACAGACACTATCGCGTGGAACGTGCTGCCCAGAGGTGAGTCTCTATATTAACATTAATATACGGTTTGGCATATCATCACAACATCCTGCTCATAATAAAAGAACTATCTAGGTCTATCCTCTTAAACACATTCGCACCAAAATGATCTTTGGTACATGCTTGAGTAATGTTTTTATAAGGGTGTGGCAAAATAAAAATAAGGAATTTTGAAATCCCCATTATATTTAGATGATACATGCTCAATTGCCAGTAATGCTCTAAAAGGAATTGGACCTGATTTATCAAATGATTTGTGCCTGATTTATAATTTTTGCATATTTTTCTCCAAATGCTCTATATATATATATATATATATATATATATATATATATATATATATATATATTTTTTTTTTTTTTTTTTTTATTCCTGATTTAAAGGATTTTTTTTTTTTATGAACTATGCAAAAGAAAAAAAAATAGTACTAATCCTAGCAATGTGCACCTGGAATTGCAGCAGGAATAAAATAACTTTTTTGCACAATATGACTTTTTGAATTTTTTATTTTTTTTATCTCTTTTTGGTTAATAAAATGAGTAATTTTACCCACACAGCTCGGATCAGCTATATTGATTCTAGCCTACTTTAAGGACCTGGAATTATAAAGTTCGCTTTGGTCAATCTTATGCCAGCAATTTTCCTGCAGACTTCAACAATACATTGCAGGCTAATCTTAATTTTGATGCCAAGCAAAAGAACAGATTCAGTAAAACAATTAAAACTATCTTTCCTTCTTGTAGCCTTTCTTGCTTTTTCTTTGCTTCCTTCTTTTCTTTTGACCTTTTTAGATCCCTCTCTTCCTTATGCTTTTCTACACATTTTTCCTCCCTACATCCTTGTTTTTTTCCCTTGGCACTTTCTTCCTTGTCATCATTCCTTCGCTCTTCCTGTCCTTCATTTAAGTGTTTTCTTGTTTCTTTCAATCATCAATAAGCTTTCTGTCCTCTTGGTAAATACTGTAATAATTGAAGTGTAAGGTTTTAGTTAAGTTCCTCTCGGTATATTGCAGCCTAGTCAAAAATATTTCTACTTTTAGGGTGATTATTCATAAAAGTCAATGTTTGGGATGATTTCATGTCTCATGATTCCTCCCCAGAGATGCTTTCTTTCTGTTCTGTTTTACATCATAAAAACAACCCCTGCTGTGAGGTACACATGTAAACAGGAACAGCGAAGAAATGAAAAAAAAAAACAGAAAAACAAATTATCTTTCTTTGTCTCCATTGTGAATTTAAATAATGCAGTTTTTATAATGTATTTTTACGTATTGTTGTGCTTTACTATGACCACCCATGAATATGAAAATAAGCTCCTTTTTTGAAAAAGATTATGTTTTAATAAATTAATCTCAAAAACATTCATCTAAGTTGGTGAGGGGAGGCGATGAGCTTTCAAAGACGTCAGAAATATACTAAGATCCTAATTTAAACATATCTTGGCAATGATGGAAAATGAAATATCCCCTGTGGTTCAGCTCTGAGAGAGTCCAAAGTGGGGCAGCTAAAATAAAAAGCAGCAGTTTTTACGCATCAGCAGCACTAAAGGAGCATCAAAACATCCCAGGTGGCTAAAATCAAGAGGATGTTGATATAAAATACCAGAAGAGCAGTTTGTGTAGGTCAGCTCTTCAAAATGGAGACTAATTTTGCAGATTTCTTCGCTCTGTAATTGAGGATATCGCTTCAGCCAGTGTTTGTCAGCCAACACACCATGCTGCAACTAGCGATTTCTCTGGTAAAAACACTGCGACACACATTTTTTGACGTGCATCTAGATTTTGTATTCACAACACATTCATACACAGATGATCTGGTTTCTCCTACTCCGCATATTAAACACAAATCCACAAAATCAAACTCTGGGACTCCCACAAGGCCAACTGTATTCCATCTAGAACAGCATTGTGACAATGAGGATGGCTGCCAAAGCCTTTTAGAGCCTCGGGGCTCTGCTGTTAATGAAGCAGCTCACTTAGAGAGAATCCCTGTAATGAAGGCACGGCATACACCTAATGCAAAATCACACACCCTTGCACACTTCAGCAGCCTGACACCAACAACATGTTCACAGTCCCTTATGAAATTTCACACACAAACTAACAGTGAAATCATTATCAGCAGCCAGAAATGGTGTCAGGGGATTGGCCTGGCTCCATTGAAGTAAATTAAAGTTGAGGTAAATTAGGGGATGCTTAATAGGATAAAGATAGCAAGACAGTTATACAGGTGTTTGTGTGCTGGTGGGTGTGTGTGGCTGATTTTTATATATCTATCAACAGAACCTGTCTAATAACCTTTTGTTGTTGCAGTTTTTTTTTTAAATAAAATATTCACAATGAAGAAGTTTATATGTATTGATCATTAGCTTACAAAACCATGTCGTATTCATCACTGTCTCTTGAGCTGGATTAAAACCTTATGGATTGTGATGATATTATCCTCATATTTCTAGAAATTGTTAAATTATTTTGATCATCCTAAATGAACAGAAGAGAAGAAAACTGATTAATGTCACATTGTTAGAAGAATGGGTGTCTCTTAATGAATGTTTCCTTTTAAATGTGTATTGTGACTGTGTGAGTCCCCTACATCATTCCAGTCAGTGGAACAAATTTGGACTGACACTGCAATCCAACCAGAGCAACTCTGTTGTTTATCTGAGCTGCAACAAGAGGACATAATTAAGGACCCAACTTAACAAAAGTAGCATTGCAAGGTCTTTTACATACTGGAGGCAAGCATTCAAGCTAGCCAGATTATTTCAAAATTGTTCACTTTGTCCTACTATTATGTCTTAGTTCACCTATAGAATGCCCCATTTTCCTCTTTTATTCCAACATATAGGTTAATCTAATTCACTTTGTGCCCTTCTTATATCTGTAGCATAATGAATCATTTCTATTTTCTTCATCCCCAACTTCAGATCTGTTCCAGAAGTTGTTTCGTCAGGACTTGCTGGTGGCCAGCTTGTTCCGCAATTTCCTGCTGGCAGAAAGGATAATGAGGTCGTACAACTGTACACCAGTCAGCAGCCCCCGTCTCCCCCCAACTTACATGCATGCCATGTGGTAAGACACTCTCACAAACAGAGCTCCTGGCACAGGAACACAGATGCACAGATGTCGGTGGCTTTTGTAGAGCTGGAGGTTAGAGGAAAGAAACGAGCCACCCGTAAGGCCCAGCTGTTTTTGAAGACAGAGAGCAGTTAAAGGCTGAGAAGAGTTTCCAACATATTCTTTATTAGCACACATAGTGCAATTTTCTTTATGTAACTGTAGATACATTTAATGACTGGATATTTTGGAAATCAACTCGGATATTAGGAAGAGACAAAACAGTGAAGCTTGCCTAGAGGCAAATTTTTCTGAATGTTAAGGGATTGCTTATTAAAAGAAAACTGCTTCTTACACTGTTTTATTTTTTTATGTTTGATTTGTTTGAGACAAATCAAACATCTGTTACTAAGCATATTGTTCAAAATAGATTTTGAAACACCTAGCCGGTGCAGCTTGAACACATCGTCAGTGAAGGACCCAGGGTCATAGGGTGTTTCGGGTCTTTGATCTTCAGACACCCTCGTCTGGGCGACCCAACCGGGGTTGATCAGGCCCCAGTTTGTGTTCAAGCAGCGCGCTACTCCATGCGTCTCCCCTCTTGATCCACAGCCACCTTGAGGCTTTCTCAGCGGCCTCACTGATGTTTCTGGTGGCTCTTCTCTCAAGCAACCCTCTGATGCCAAGGAGCCTGAATGCCCGATGCACAGTCTGACTTAGGAAGCCTCTGCAGCCCACTTCTATTGGCTCACAGCGGGCCCTCCATCCAGGGCATCTGCATGCCTCAATCAGCTCAAGATACTTCGCCCTCTTCCTTTCATGAGCCTCCTCCATCCTGTCTTCCCAGGGGACTGTAAGCTCCAGTAACACAACTTGCTTCGTTGAGTCAGATGTTAAGACCAGATCTGGTCTCAGTAACGTCCTTACAATGTGCTCTGGGAACTTTAGCTGCCTTCCAATGTCCACATGCAACTGCCAATCCCGAGCCACGGCTAGCAGTCCAGATGTGCCCCTACCTGCTCTCTCAGGTTTCTCCCCTGCCCTGACAAAGAAGGTATTGTGCCTCAAAGGGGACTGGTGCTTTGACTCCAGGATTCCAGTGCAGATGGTGTCTGCTACTGCCTTCAACACCTGGTTATGGCGCCACGTGTACCTTCCCTCTCCCAGTGCTTTAGGGCAGCAGCTCAGGATGTGCACCAGGGAACCATGAGCCCGGGCACAGTGGGCATGTTGGTGCTTCTGCAAGGCCCCAGGTATAAAGGTTAGATGGACTTGGAAGGACATCATACACTGACTGGATCAGGAACTTAAGTCTTGCTGGTTCATACTTCCATAGTTCTGTCCAGGTGATCTTCCGGGCGCAAGCATGGTTCCAATTGGTCCAGGCTCCTTGCTGGCGCATTGCCACCATCCTACTTTGGCGTTCCTCCTCCATCTCTGCACGAATCTCTCCCTGTATCATCTGTCGACGCACTTGTCCTCGGGCTTGGTCATAGCGCAGCTTTGTAAGGCTACCTAGACCGGCTCGTCCCACCGCCACAGAGCCAACTATGACACTATGTCTCAGTCTTGCTTCTGCTTGGTTGACTGCCTGTTGTGCTCGCCATTTCCTCCCAGTTCTGACTGTGATGCCGGCAGAAGAGACTCTGGTGTCAGCAGAGTCTCTGTCAAGCAACACCTCCCTGGCTCTGGTGACTTTAAACTCCTCCGTCACGCCAGTCAAAGGAAGCTGCAGCTTGTTGGAGTGCCCATAGAGGGCAATGCTGCTGAGACTCTTTGGCAGACCCAGCCATCTGCGTAGGTATTGGCTGACATTGCGTTCAAAGCCCTCCACCATGGTTACTGGAACTTCATAAATCAGTAACGGCCACAGAAGTCTTGGCAGGATTCCGTGCTGGTATATCCATGCCTTAAACTTCCCCGGGAGACCAGACTTGTCCACTGCTGCTAGCCATGCCTTTAGCTTTAGCTGGGCTGCCTCCACTGCTGCTTTGTCCTTCAGAGTGCTATCGAAGATCTTCCCCAAGCTCTTCACAGGCTTCTCTGACACTGTCGGAATTGGGACTCCATCCACGCAGAAGCGGTATTTGTCCTCCACTTTCCCCTTCCTCAGGACAAGGGATCTGGACTTGGCTGGCTTAAATATCATCCTTGCCCATGCCATGATCCTTTTCAGACCACGGAGGAGCCACCGGCATCCAGTCACTGATGTTGATGTGACAGTCAGGTCATCCATGTAGGCCCTAATTGGTGGTTGGCGAATGCCAGATCTGGACAAGGGGCCCCTACATTCCACTTCTGCAGCCTTGACCAGCATGTTCATAGATAGGGAAAACAACACCACTGACATGGTGCAACCAGTGATAATGCCCTTCTCTAGGCGGTGCCATGCAGATGTTGTTGTTCCAGTGGTGAATCTCAAACTGAAACCACTGTAGTAGTCCCATATGAGTTCAGTGATCTTCTCCGGAACGTGGTATGTTGTCAGAGCTTTTGACACAACCTTGTGTGGAATAGATCCATAGGCATTTGCCAAGTCAAGCCAAAGGACTGCAAGGTCTCCTCGGTTTTCTCTCGCCTCCCGTATCAGCTGGGTGATCACTCCTGTATGTTCCAGACAGCCCGGCATGCCTTGAACTCCGCCCTTCTGCACAGAGGTGTCAATGTAGGAATTTCTCAGGAGATACTCAGATAACCTGTTAGCAAGAATCTTAAAGAAGATTTTGCCTTCCACACTGAGTAGGGAGATGGTACGGAACTGCGTGATGTCACTCGCATTCTCCTCCTTTGGTATCCAAACACCCTCTGAGTGACGCCATTGCTGGGCCACCTTCCCCCTCCTCCATACTACCCTAATAAGTCTCCAGAGCCTCTCCAGGAGTCTCGGGCAATGTTTGTAGACTTTGTAGGGCACTCCACTTGGACCTGGGGCTGCACTAGTACGTGCAGCTCGTACGATGTTCCTGACCTCTGCCAGGGTGGGTTCCTTAATGTTAAACTGGACAGATGGTATCGGAGGTGTGGGTAGCTCTCTGCAGGTAGGCAGTTCCTCCTCTCTCCTGCTGTCGCTGTATGTGGCACTAAGGCTCTGGTTGATCTCATTCTCTGAGCATTGTAGGGTCCCACTCCTCGTCTGCCCCAAAAGCCGCTTCGTAAATCCAAACGGATTTGCAATAAAGGCTGTTCGCTTACGAGCCCTCTCTCTGCCTCTCCGCCTGTGCCACTCAGCCCGACGCAGAGATATAAGTTTCTGCCTCAGGATGCCACGGAGTTCTCTCAGGGCTGGTCTTTCCTCCTCACCCGCCTTCTTATACTGGCGATTCAGGGCTTTGAGCTCTTTCCTGAGCTGGGAGATCTTGGTCTCACGCCGGTTTGGCCTAGCAAAGTTCTGAGCCTTTGGTAATTTTATGCCAAATCTCTCTGCACCGATGCTGATGATTAGTGTGCTCATCAACTGGAGTCGCTGATCAACTTCTCCTCTGCAAGATGCATTTAGAGTAGCATCAACATCCTCATCAAACTGCCGCCACTGAGCCTCCTTGTTTGCAGCCGGCCATAAAACCCCACGCTGTTCTGATGGTTTGCTAGGTGTAGCATGTCGAGCATGGAGGTTCTGGAAACTGTGGGTCAGTGCTCCGTCTCACCAGGGTCAGTGCTTGGCACTGGCTCTGTGCGTTGCTCTGCTTGCTTCCTCCTTATGCAGCCCATCTTTGCCTGGTGGATCCTCAGGCCCCTAAGGTTTTTACAGACCTTACCGCAAAAGCAGGTTGCTGTCGTTGTCGAAAATCCATTGCCTATGTCTGTTACCGGGTAATCCGTCCGTTTGGGGTGCTCATCCTCCCCCCCTCTCGGGCACCCCTGAGGGTATTTTCCTGTAAGGCTTTCTGTAGCAAAGTGTGGCTGCCCCCTCACAGGAGCTGCAGCTCAGGGTGCTAACCTTTACTGCACCGATTGCCGTCTCTCCGTGCTGTCCACTGTCTCTCCAGTCGTCACCATGCTTTCACGGTTGTCATCCAGCCTTTCCTGGAAGTCACTGGCTCGGCCAGTTATAATAGATTTTGAAACACCTAGCCGGTGCAGCTTGAACACATCGTCGGTGAAGGACCCAGGGTCATAGGGTGTTTCGGGTCTTTGATCTTCAGACACCCTCGTCTGGGCGACCCAACCGGGGTTGATCAGGCCCCAGTTTGTGTTCAAGCAGCGCGCTACTCCATGCGTCTCCCTAGTAAAATTAGTAACATAAATAGTTTAATTTAGTTAAATTAGTCTAGTGCCTGGTCTATAAAGCTATCGGTATCTTTATAGGCGCACTTTTGTCCTATCAAAGCTCATTAAGTCAATATGATCTCCCCTTATGTACAAACTATCTATTTGTCAACCAGCTGTCGATCAAATAGCTGCACTGCACTCTTTGGCTGTGTCCGAATGTCTGCCCTAACCCCTATATCCCTCAATCACTATATAGAGCGGGGACTAGATGGGGGACTTCTGGTGAACTCGGGTACCTGACCGTTCAGACAGATGATCACTACTTTTCACTTCCTGTTGGTAATGTGACTCCGGCTCACTGCACGGTGTCTGTGCATTTTTTTTTTTATTTTCAGGCCACAGTGACAACAAATCCCATAAAGCTTTGCGAGGAGAGCTCTCCTCACAAAGCATTATGGGATATATCTGCTTGTTAAGGAATTATGGATGATCACTACTTTTCAAGGGGCATTGTTGAAAATTTCAAGTCCACTACTTTTTCATCCACTAGACGTTTGGACACTCATTTAAAATGGCGTAACCACTGTGAAGTGATTAGGGTGGACATTTGAACACAGCCTTAACCTAGCTTGGTTACAGGAGTCCTTACATTGCCCCGCTCCAGTTTGAGGACTACAAAGTAAAATCCTATGACAGGACGGCACTCTTACAGCACACTGCAAGGCAAACTCTGACTTTCCCTAAGTTCTGAACTATCACTGCGTTATACACCAACAAGAGATCTGTGCTTAAAGGAGAAGTTCGGT